CCCCCTTATATACAAAAACTCCACCCCTTTAAGACCCACCTCCTGCCCTGCCATAGGCCAGGAAACTCCAGCCTTAGCCAAGACAGGCAGGTGACATCATGGCACACGTCACAGTCACCATCAGACCACTCTCGCTCCCATTGGTGGAAAAGACCAGGTCTAGTGTATGGCCACCCACGTGTGTAGGGCCATTGACATGTTGGGACATGTTCAAGAAGGCCATGGTCTCCAAGAACTCAAGAGCTGGCCCGAAGTCTCTGCCCCCGCATGCACGTTGAAGTCCCCCAGAACCATTAGCTTCGGAGAACTCAGCAGTGCTGCGGAGACAAAGTCCACCAGCTCCGGTAGGGAAATGGCTGGGTCACGGGGAGCACGGTAACCCAGCAAGATCCCAATACCATCCCTGGCCCCAATCGACACGTGGAGAGCCTCAAGACTTGGCTTTACCACCGAGGAGCGCCTAGCTACCTCCAGGGTGGATTTATAGACGATGGCTACTCCCCCCCGACCCTCCAGTCTACCCTGCTGTTGGACAGCATAACCAGGCGGACAGATGAGAGCTAGGGGAGGCCCCCCCTCTCCGCCAATCCATGTTTCGGTTATGCAGGCCAGGTCTGCATCTTCCTCCAGGATGAGGTCGTAAATTAGCTGGGTCTTGTTAGATACAGACCTGGCATTCAACAACACCAGGTGTAGGGTGGAGGGCTGACTGGTCTGGCTACCTCGGTACTGGGGGTTGGTCCCCGTCTCAGAATAATGAACAGCCTTTAGGCATCTGTGCATCGTTCTTCTGGCACGAGTAGGGACGGAGCCAACACCATATCGCCCTCTACCCGTGATCACGGAGATGTTTTGGGTCCCCTCGCTGGGAGGGCAGGCCTTCCATTCCATGACGAGAGGGGGAGGGAAAGGGGGAAAGGAAAAAAGGAAAAGGGCTAATGAAAGCAGAACAGAAACCTTTATTGGCATGCTGCATAAATAACATAAAAACACAATAAAATACTGGGGAAAGATTCATTACAGGCAAGAGGAGGTGCCAGGAAATCGTCCTCCGATATGCAGATGATACCACTCTGATGGCAGAAAGTGAGGAGGAATTAAAGAACCTTGTAATGAGAGTGAAAGAGGAGAGTGCAAAAAACGGTCTGAAACTCAACATCAAAAAAACTCCTTTCTCAGGTCTGCCCATCCGGAATGAGAGAGGAGAAAAGCCGTCAGATGTGACAGACGGATGTCCTTGTACAGTGTACAGTAAAATAGCATGTGTTGCAGGGATTCAGTCTTTCCCTGGCCACATGGGCAAACTCTCAGTTCTGTTGGTAAGCCAAAAGGGCTAATAACTTAATGTAAATAAAACAATTAACAAAAGAAAATATAATCAATTATACAATGCGACAAATAAAAAAAATACATCAGTGAGGAAACATATGAAAAAACAGTG